AAGGATGAGAACCAGGAAGGGTTCTACTTCCACCAGGTGAGAAGGAGGCTGGCCAGATGCATCTGAAGATGTGACTGACTGGACTTTGTGGCCAGAAGCTCAATGGCACTGGAGTCAACCCTTGAGTCAACACAAGAATCAAACGTCTTGTGTTGAAAGTGGACTGTGAGGGGCAGAGTCTCGGATGGTAACACAGTGGGAGAGGCAGAGGGGCGAGTTGCGATTCCAGCCTGTGGCCTCAGAGGTGCAGTGAGGCGCAGAAGTGTCTGCCACCTCTGCCACCTCTGCCATGGAAGGGTGCACAGCGCGCCAGCTGCAGAAGCGCTGTCCGAGGTAGAGGGAGGCACTACATGGCCCCTTGTGAGAGGAGCCAAAGGGGCTGGCCGCTGAGCAGACACCAGCGTCTGGTGGCACCGGAGGGGTCAGAAAGGTGACCTGGTGGCCCTGAAGGTGAACAGGCAGGTGGCCAACCTGGACAGCGAGGAGGCCACAGCACTGAAGGCCGGGTTCCCACGCCCTGCCTGAGCCTGACTCTCATGACAGAGGGGCACGGGTGGGGGGGCACCTTCCCCTAACTGCAGTCACCCTTCCTCAGGTGCCCTGGGACGATCTCCGCTACCTTTTTGGTGAGATCATGTATGGCGGCCACATCACAGACGACTGGGACCGCCGGCTATGCAGGACCTACCTGGCCGAGTACATCCGGATGGAGATGCTGGAGGGGGACGTCCTGCTGGCCCCCGGCTTTCAAATCCCCCCTAACCTGGACTATAAGGTAAGGATGACAAGTTAAACAGGAGCTCAACGCCACGAAGGCGCGTGCCTTCCAGTGAGAGCCTTGCACACCTGCAGTATCCATAACTGAGCAAGAACCTACGCAATCAAAATAAGAGAGCATGAGAAACGTGCCTCACTGGAAGAAGCGCAAGGCTAATACAAGCCATGCATTTTCTTTTTATTAAAAAAAAGAAAAATGCAGCCTCAGGGAAGAGGGGAATGGATTTTCCTTTGTGTCGCTGGGAGCGTAGAGGGCAGCCCACAAACGGGTGGGAAACAAGTGGGATCTGTACAGAGGGCAAGACGGGTGGAACATTCTGGCAAGGAACACTTAATGAACAGGACATGGGTTTCAGCCTGCACAGCTTTGCCTCCGCTTACAAACCGCCCTCTTTTCAGGGTTACCACGAATACATTGATGAGAACCTGCCCCCTGAGAGTCCCTATCTGTATGGCCTGCACCCCAACGCAGAGATTGGCTTTCTGACGGTCACCTCGGAGAAGCTGTTCCGTACCGTCCTGGAAATGCAGCCCAAAGAGACCGACTCGGGGGCTGGCACAGGGGTGTCCCGCGAGGAGAAGGCAAGAGCTGGAAAACCTGTTTCCAAGCCAGAGGAAGGGGAGGATCTTGAACTGGGGAGGGGGCGGAGGGACGGGCTGTCGGGGAGCTTACTGGTAAGGCAGACTGCCCCAGGCTGGGGAAACCCTGGGGTGGGGCCGTAGGCTGCTCAGCAGGTCCCCAGGCGCGGCAGCTGCAGACTTCGGGTGGGGGGGCATGAGCACAGCCCGAGGGGTCGCTGGGGTGGTGGGGTGGTGTGCGGCCCCAGCCCTGCGCCCTGCAGTCTTCCAGCTTCCCCGGCTGAGTGCCGGGGAGGGCGCCGGCCATTCCCCACCAGCTGGACAGACCCGAGGGCAGGTGCTCCAGAGCCGCTCGGTGGCTGTGACCACAGGTCCTGTTGCCGCTCGAAGGATTAGAACGGCTCAGGGACGCCAGTGCTTTGAACGAATTCTAACCTCTCTGGGTACCTCTATGCCGCCTCCTGGGCACCTCTGCAATTTATTTTTTTGAGATGGAGTCTAGCTTTGTCGCCCAGGCTGGAGTGCAATGATATGATCTCGGCTCACTGCAACTTCCGTGCCTCCTGGGTTCAAGCAATTCTCCTGTCTCAGCCTCCCATGGGAATACAGGCGCCTGCCACCACACCCAGCTAATTTTGTGTTTTTGGTAGAGACGGGGCTTTACCACGTTGGACAGGCTGGTCTTGAACTCCTGACCTCTAGACAACAAACGCGCCTTGGCCTCCCAAAGTGCTAGGATTACAGGTGTGAGCCACCGCGCCTGGCCTGCACTTCTTAACAGATTGTGGAAGAGCTCTATTACGTATTAGCTGCTAAGTACTGGGCTTCCCAGTAAACAGGCTGAATTCTTGACGTGAGACCCTTATTGCTATTAGGTCCAGGACCTTCTCTCAGTCTAATGACTGAAGTTAGAAACTGACTGAGAGGATGGTGCAGGTGACCTCTGTGCGCCTCTGTGGGCCTCTCCTTGAGGGTGTGACCGGCAAGGTCCCTACAGAAAGCCCACACGAAGGACAAAGTTGCAATCCCTCAACCGCTGGCTAAACCTGATGGGAGGCTGGTGCATGGGAATGAACGTCTGTAGGCCCCGGGCTAGGCGGCCTAAGGCGCCCACGGCCACAGCTGCAGGGCCTTGGTAGTGATAGCAGAATGCCACAGCTCCCTTCCCTTGTCAAATGTGTGACTGCACCCATGACCCTGTGCTTCTGGCGGCTCCACTTGCCTCTTCCCTCCCCTCCAGGACTCAGGGCTGGGAACATTCTGGGCAGGCTTCTTAGTGACGGGGGCTGTCTGCGAACTGGCTTCCAGGTGAAGGCCGTGCTGGAGGACATCCTGGAGAAGATTCCAGAGACTTTCAACATGGCTGAGATCATGGCAAAGGCAGCTGAAAAGACCCCCTATGTGGTAGTCGCCTTTCAAGAATGTGAAAGAATGAACATCCTGACCAACGAAATGCGCCGCTCGCTGAAGGAGCTGAACCTGGGGCTGAAGGTAAAATGGGTCGGCCAGGCCCCAGGGACATGGCTTGATGGCAAAACCAGCAGCAACGCAGGCCTCTGGCAGCCTGAGCCGAGAATGGGCCACGGGGTCAGCACATCACTGCTCCCTCTCCAGAGCTCTGGCCCTTCCAGAACAAGCCCAGGAGCTCATCTAGACTGTTCCCTAGCAGGAAGCACTCGAGAGGCCCTGAGGCAGGGCGTCTCCCAAGGCGCAGCACCAAGCCACGCTGTTGACAAATCATGACACGCACTGAGGCTGGTGCTCTCGAAGCCCCCACGAGTGGGCAAAACAAGGCCCAGCCCAGGGCTCCCCACACCGTCTGTCTCTCCTAGGGGGAACTGACCATCACAACCGACATGGAAGACCTGTCCACGGCTCTCTTCTACGACACCGTGCCTGAGACGTGGGTGGCCCGGGCCTACCCCTCCATGATGGGCCTGGCAGCCTGGTACACAGACCTGCTGCTCCGCATCAGGGTAAGTGCCGCTTTCTCTGAGAGGCTTCCTGACTTGAGACTCAGGGGCCGAGTGCCTAGGGCTCAGCACACCCTGCGGGAGCATGGCCCTGACGGCAGGGTGACTCCTAGGGGCCTGGCCTCTGTCAGAGCAGGGCCGGAAGGGCCTAGCCCAGGCTCCTCATATACCTGAGGCCTTTCCTCCCAAAGGAGGAAAATAAGCCAGGCCGAAGTGAGAGCAGCTCCTCGTGCGACACTTGAAGGGTAAGCTGCCCTCTATAAGGAGCAAGACAATGAAGGGAAGAGCCTCTTTGGGCTCCTAAGTTATCCACAAATGGGAAGCCATTCCTTTCCTGGTCCTTCTCTTCCCATTCCCTCATTTAAAATGGAGCAGACAGTGGCTGGGCATGGTGGTTCATGCCTGTAATCCCAGCACTTTGGGAGGCCCAGGCAGGCGCATCACTTGAGGCCAGGAGTTCAAGACGAGCCTGGCCAACATGGCAAAACCCCATCTGTACTAAAAATACAAAAAATAAGCCAGGCGTGGTGATGCATGCCTGTAATCCCTGCTACTCAGGGGGCTGAGACAGGAGAATCACTTGAACCCAGGAGGCTGAGGTTGTGCCACTGTACTGCAGCCTGGGCAACACAGTGAGGCTCCATCTCAAAAAAAAAAAAACAAAAAGCATCAGGGCAGGTGGCCAAGCTTCACAGCCCACCCTCCATCCACCATTCCCAGCTTGCTGAGTGGCCTGTGGAAGGTTCTGGCATGACCCCTGCTCAGAATGGCTGAGGCCCTGTCATTCCCTGCCCTCTCCTCTCAGCGGTTCGTGTATCCTTGCAGGAACTCGAGGCTTGGACGACAGACTTTGCCCTGCCCACCACTGTGTGGCTGGCTGGCTTCTTCAACCCCCAGTCTTTCCTCACGGCCATCATGCAGTCCATGGCCAGGAAGAATGAGTGGCCCCTGGACAAGATGTGTCTCTCTGTGGAGGTGACCAAGAAAAATCGGGAGGACATGACCGCTCCCCCCCGAGAGGGCTCCTATGTGTACGGACTCTTCATGGAAGGTAAGGAGGGGCTCTGGTCTGTCTGCAGAAGCTACCAGAGCCAATGCTACCTGGCAAGAGGAAATAAAACTAGCTCTTGGCAAAGACAGGCTGTTCAAGAGCCGTGGGGACAGGAGGGAGAAGCGCTCTCAGGGGCATCAGCCTGCAGGCCAGAGCCATGCTGATCCTAGAGAGGGGTGAGAGGATTCAGAGAATGTACAGGGGGGTCTGCAGGAGACCGGAAACACCCCACCCCAGTCCCCTGGCCTCTGCTTTACTGAAAACAAACAGCAGCGCTTGTGTGAGAGCAGCTTTGACCTGATGAGAAATGCTGAAAAACTCAGCCTTTTCCGGCCACGCAGCAGTGAGCCCAGGCCAGAAGTGCGTTTTGTGGCTGCACTGAGGGCGCTGAGGCTCCAGGGCATGTGGGCTGGTCCTATGCCAGGTGCTCCGGTCCAAATCCCACCCAATCCCCAAGCTGCTGTGGCTCCGGGGGCACCCATTAGAAGTCTGCCCCCACCTCGCCCAGTCTGGCTCCCTCAGCAGCTAACATCACCCCCTTACCTGTGGGGTATCAGGGCCAGGCCTGCAACAGCCCAGGCACCCCATTTCCCACACCGCCAAAGATAAGCACAGCAGCAGCCGCTCTCCATGTTTATTTTGAAATTTCAGACGGGAAAGAGAAGCATCATTAAATAGGGCGAGTAGAAATAACAGTCCAGTTAAAAGCAAATCGTGTTTATATGCATAGATACATAATGACGCTATGCACACACAGGGCAGACAGGACACATGAAGAGGCAGGGAACTTTAATTTTTAGCTGGAGTCATGACTTCCTGCCACTGATATTAAGCTGACAGATGAGGCTCTCTTAAAACAGGTGGAACCCAAGGGCTTTAGCTGAGCTGTTCGTGCACAGCGAGACACGGGGTAGTTATGACATGCACACCGTCACCTCCGAGGGCCTCTGCTTACAGCCATGACACGTGGCCTGATGCCTTTCTGGGTGGAGCCCATCTCTGCAAAGAGCAGGGAACTCAAGGACTAGCCCCCGCCTCACTTACTGGCAGTGTTCCAGACAGGACCCAGTCACCTCCCAACCCTCAGCCACGCTGTCCCCGCAGGGGCTCGCTGGGACACCCAGACCGGAGTCATCGCCGAAGCACGGCTGAAGGAGCTGACGCCGGCCATGCCTGTCATCTTCATCAAGGCCATTCCTGTGGACCGCATGGAGACCAAGAACATCTATGAGTGTCCCGTGTACAAAACACGCATCCGCGGCCCCACCTATGTCTGGACCTTTAACCTGAAGACCAAAGAGAAGGCGGCGAAGTGGATCCTGGCAGCCGCGGCGCTGCTCCTACAGGTTTAGCTCGCTCCTGCGTCCTGCCTACAACTATTCTTTACAGGAACTGGTGGTGGTTTTTTGTTCTCTTCAATAATGAGGGTGCTTTGTAACCAAGCGCATCTGAACTAAACAGAGGGTGGAAAAGGCGGGGCAGATTAAAGCAAGTGGAACCACTCAACCATACCCATCTGACTCCATTCTGTGCCTGATGGCCACCGCAGAGCTGGGAAAGGCCCCAATTCCCAGCAGCCAGAGGCAAGCAAACCCCAAATCCTGACTCGTCAGTGGGGTTGGGGCTAGGCAGTCATACCCTCTAGCCCGATGCCATGTGCAAACCAGCTGCCAACGAGGGGACAGGGCGTTCCCCCAACAGTCTCATCAGGCATTTATTTCCTGTTCTCAAGAACAACACTAAGTACCTTTTACAGCTATGGAAACATACCCAAGCCCCTACCCAAAGAGCCTAGAACAAGCTGTTCCCACAGGTGCTATTTCCACACAGCAGAAGCACTTCCCTGCCCAGTGCCTGCTCTTTCTGAAACCACGGGGTACTCAGGGACCCCCCTCCCCCAGACAAGTGCCATGTCCCGGGTGCTCACAGGTGTCTCCCAGTCCTCTGTGGCAGCTTTTTTTCCTTTTGTCCACTGCCCTCAGCCGCACCATCAGTTCTTCCTGCCTCACCTGCAGATGGCAGTCACCCACGTGGACTGCAGGCTTGAACCAGCCAGGCCTCTCTACAGCAAACTGCGACCCTGGCATAAGGCAGGCAAGGTCCTTGTTCTCTGGACAAGTCCTGCAGCTTCTCTCTCCATGGTGCAAGTATCTACAGAACAACCACCCTCAAGCTGTGCAGAGAGAGGGCTCAGGAAAACAGCGGCTGTGGGTGGTCCTGGCAGAGAGCCCCCACTGTTCTGAAATTTACTGAATGATTTCAGCAGATACTGAGAACAGCCAGCTGGAGACCTGTAGGGCTCTCTGTGGCTGTGCCAAAGCAGGACACTGCAGCAAGGTGGCCAGGGCAGCAGTGTACAGGCACGAGGGACAGGACTAACTACAAACCTGAGGGATAAGAGGAGGCAGCTGCGAACGCCAGAAAAGATGGATCCCGGGGACCAAGACATCAGCCTCAACATGGTTTTGAGATGGACTTCAATCTCAGCTCACTGCAGCCTCCGCCTCTTGGGTTCAAACGATTCTCCTGTCTCAACCTCCCAAGTAGCTGGGATTACAAGTGCCCACCAACACACCCAGCTAATATTTGTCTTTTTAGTAGAGATAGGGTTTCACCATGTTGGCCAGGCTGGTCTCAAACTCCTGACCTCAGGTGATCCCCTCACATAGGCCTCCCAAAGTGCTGGGGTTACAGGCATGAGCCCCCATGTCGTATCTTCAACGTTTCTTAGGCTTCAAAGGAAAGCAGGCCGGGTGCGGTGGCTCAAGCCTCTACTCCCAGCATCGCAGGATTACTTGAGACCAGCATGGGCAACAAAGTGAAACTCCATCTCTACAAAAATAAAAAATTAGCCAGGTACTGTGACTCGTGCCTGTAATCTCAGCACTTTGGGTGGCTGAGGCAGGTGGATCACCTGAGCTCAGGAGTTTAAGACCAGCCTGAGCAACATGACAAAAGCCTGTCTCTACCAAAAATACAAAAACTTAGCCGGGCATGGTGGTGTGCTCCTGTGGTCCCAGCTACTCGAGAGGCTGAGGCCAGAGGGGTGACTGAGCCCACGAGGTCAAGCATGTAGTGAGCCATGATCATACCACTGTACTCCAGCCTGGGTGACAGCAAGACCCTGTCTCAAAAGGGGGGAAAAAAAGGCAAACCAACCAACTACAAATACCATTCTAAATTCAGCTTGACTTTCAAATTTTGCAAAAACATTTTTCCAAGTTTACTCACCTAAATCATGAGTTTAGAAGCATCTACAAAGTCCAAATTCTGAGGGTAATGGCTCACAACCATCTTAGGGCCCAACAGGGCTATCAGAGGGAGAAGAAAAACATCCCTCAAATCCTCCCTTCCTGGCATCCAAGGAAACCAGCCCCTTTGGGGCTGCAAGGAAGTTTCAGCCTCCCCGGCCTGGCTGGACCAATACCTCTGCTGGCCAGGAGGGGTCACTGCCGCCCTTCATGGGACCAGAGGAGATAAAGCTGCCAGGGGCCGCAGGGCAACTCACTTCAGTCCCTGGTAGTAACCACAAAATGTGAGCTTTTTCCATTTTGCCTTTAGATGCTGAAATAAAAGTAATCTATTCCACATGCACATATTGTGGGTAGATAAAATTATCTCTAAACTTTCCAAGAGATGATTCGTGCTGAAGCTGCACTCCAGGGACGGGGAACACCGGGACTGAAGCGTGACAACCCCGCGCACCTGGAATGCCGTGAGGAAGGTGGCAGTCGCCACCCGTGCTCTCTCTGCTGCTCCAGCTGCTTTGCAGAGTGAGGGAGCCTTAGTCTGGGGAGCTCCTCAGGAGAACCTGCCTGGGACAGCCTCAAAGGTCATTAGCAGAGGCAGAGGGACCAGCGGCGCGCTGCGGGAACAACACTGCAGATTGCTTAAGCCCGGCTGTGGCACAATGATGTTTACTCTGGTCCCACAGAATCTGTAGGAATGCGAACTCTGTTTACCGAAAGCCTCTCTGCAAACAGAAACCCAGTGCCCCTGCACATTCCTTTGGCTCCTTTGTCTAATTGTCCCACAGGACACCCTAATAACTAGTTTGAAGGCAAACAGCGTTCACTGCTGTTCGGCTGCCCCAGGGCTTCGCTCCACTTACCCGCAGCCACTCAAACTGCAGTCTGCCTGGTCTAAGACCAGGTGCTCCCGGCACTGAGCCCGAGCAGCCTTTCAGACCCCATGAAGGGTGACAGTGACCGCTGGCAGCCCAGGAGGGAAAGGCCAGAAGCCGCTTCCAGAGGCAAAGTGCAGGGACTGAATCCAATCTCACTCCCCGAAAGGACAGGCTACCACGCCCTGGAGCCCAGGAAACTTCTCTCGGTGCAAGGGTCAAGCACCTGAAGATAGATTAGGCAGTGAGGTTGCGAAAGTGACTGCTGGAGACACTGGGGGATGTGAGGAGCTGGCTTTACACATAAACTTGATGTGTATGCAAAATCCCAGGCTACTAGGCGACACAAAAATGTTTTAAGTAGATCCAATACAAATAAAGTTCATGGCCGGGCGCGGTGGCTTACGCCTGTAATCCCAGTACTAAAGTGGGAGGCTGACGTGGGCAGATCCCCTGATGTTGGGAGTTCGAGACCAGCCTGGCCAACATGGTGAAACCCTTTCTCTACTTAAAAAAAAAAAAATACAAAATTAGCCAGGCATGGTGGCACATGCCTGTAATCCCAGCTACATGGGAGGCTGAGGCAGGAGAATCACTTGAACCTGGGAGACAGAGGTTGTGGTGAGCCAGGATCATGCCATTGCACTCCAGCCTGGGCAACAAGAGTGAAACTCCGTCTGAAATAATAATAATAAAGTTCATTCTTGAAAAAATCAGCTGTTAGGGAAAACAATCACAAGGTGTAATCCTTAATTGGACTTCAAGTCAAATAATTGAAAAAAAAAAATGTTAAGGCAACTGGAACTGTGAACACCATCTAGGTACTTGACGATACTATGGCATTCGTGCTATGTTTCAGGAGGGATACCAGTGCTGTTTCGGTTAAGTCTGTATTTTAGGGGAAGACAACACGATATGCACATTATTTAGAAACATGGACACGTGTGCACATCGGAATAAACCAGCCAAGGGTAGCTGCTTGGGGGTAGGGAGGGCAAGAAACGGCCACAGTTTCTTATCTTTTAGTATTGTTTTCCTCTCTCCATTTGTACACATTCTTTAAAAGTAATTAAAATGACTAGGAAAGGCTGCAAGATGAACTACACATTTTTTAAGAATGAGATTTAGCGGAGAATCTAGGTAGCCGGCGCTCAGGAGGCCCACGCTGCACACACGTGGTAGCAGCACTAGCACGTACGCTGACCACATGGGCCCTGGCTCATCTGACTCCTCCCCCTTCCCCACAAGCCACCATCCAAAGGCCCAATCATCCAAAGAACCAGAGCCACCCACAACATCCAGACCCAGAGAGCAGGGCCCTCGGAAGTCTGATCCCAGCTGGAGTGCAGTCCAGGCCCTGAGGGATCCAGAACCCACAGGGCCAGTGGGCAGAGAACCCCACCTTTAATGGCAGCCAACCCCTGCCCAGACCTCCAGGCGTCAAGACAGTCTGGGGTTCCTCAGGTGACTGTGGGACCCCACCGGTGGCCCTGGTGAAGCAGCAGGCCCCTCCTGGGTGGGCAGAGCGGGTCCTGTTACTCAACCTCCAGAGACTAGAAGGGCGCATCTCTGTAACCACATCACAGAGATGTCAGTCAGCAAGGTGTCAAGGCAGCAGCCCGGGGTCCGGCTCCACCGAGGCCTCCCCACCATGGGCTGCAGCTGGCCAGGGCAGCAAGCCAGAGCCGCTCTCACGAGCAACAGCGCTCTCCCACCCCACATCTACGTCTCCTGCACCAGTGTGCTCGGCCCAGAGGGGCTCAATCTGCCTTTCTGCCCCCTCATCCCTGAGCCCTTCCCCAGGGCCTCTTCAGGACCCCCCGAGAAGGGAGAGCAGAGGGGACTACAGGATGCCACTGCTGACCCCAGCACAGGCAACCTGGGGCTTGGTCAAGTGTGTATCTGATGGAAGCTAAACAAACTGCCTAATTTAGCATCAGGTTTCAAACACTTTGAGGACAGCTGCCCCACTCCTGAAGATGCTGCTCTGTGTTTAACAGAGAGGGATGAAAGAGCCCTCTGGGAGCTCTGGTTGAGTCAGAACCACCACCTGCCCAACCTGTAAACACCTGGGAAGAACGTGCTGAGACGCTAGAGACCACACCTGTCTGTCCTCAGAAGAAGTTCTTGATCAGTGGAGTTACCATCTTCACCCACAACTTCACCTGCCGACTCGGCTGCTCAAAGGTGGCAGATGACACCGCACCGGACCTCAGGTAGAGCTGCTCTTGCTCCTGAGGAAGAGGAACACACAGGAATAGTGAGTCCCCTCCAGTACCACACGACACGGCTGGCCGGCCCCAGCCCAGCCCGTCAGGCCAGCCTGGAGAACGCTGGCTTCACATGTCCACCTGGCCCAGAGATTCCGAGTGTGCCAGCGGCAGGCAGTGCCCAGTCCTACAGGCTGCCACTGTGAAACATTCCTTAGAAAGGCTAAGAAGCTGTGTTCCTAAAGACTTTTAGGGGTTCGAAACAGTGGCTCAAGCCTATTATCCCAACACTTATGGAGGCAGAGGCAGGAGGATCACTTGAGTCCAGGAGTTTGAGGCCACCCTGGGCAACATAGGAAGATGTCATCTCTATGAAAAAAATTTTAAATTAGCGGGGTATGGTGGTGTACGCCTGTAGTCGCAGCTGCTTGGAAGGCTGAGGACGGAGATGGTTTCGGCCTGAGAGGTCGAAGCTGCAGTGAGCTGTGATGGTGCCACTGCATTCCAGCCTGGGTGACAAAGTGAGACCTCGTCTCCAAAAAAAAAAAGGCTTTTAAGACCAAGACATGTATAGGACTCTAAATTTCTTCAATTTCGAGTTGAAAAAAATATAACTGGCAGGAAAAAATATTTTAAACGTTCACCTTCACTAAATGAGGTAGGACAAATGAAAATAATGAGGTATTTTTTCAGTGAGACACAGTTTTCCTTCTATCAGATTGGCACAAAGCTGTTCTGTGATGCCATCCCCCCGCTGATGAGTGCACAGTACACGGGCACTCCCGTCCATGCTGAGGGAAGGGGACCAAGTCATCTTCTAGCGTGAGGTCTAGCAACAGGTACCAAGAGACTTACAAAGCTCCCTTTGCCAGAGTCTACCCCGAGAAAACCACTGTGCACTAAGATTTTTATATTTATCACAATATTTATAACAGGGAAAAACTGGAAACCACCTAAGTGTCCAGCAGCCAACTTACTAACTCACATGACAAAGCAGCGTTCGCCACAAACTTACTAACAACTCACATGGCAAAGCAGTGTTCACCATGAGAAGAACGTTTACCTAATCGCATGGGAAAAGTGCCCGGCATCAGCAGACAGAGGAAGCTGGACATGAAATACACGTACACACAGGATCCTCATCTGCTGCTTAAAGCTCTGCCTCTCCACACGCTGTCCACGGGAGGCAGGCAGGGAATCCTCACGACGGCTTCACTGGTTTTCCCCCAATGAAAGGGTTGGTTGCTTTCCACTTTCCTTAATTTTTACAGTGAACATTTGTTAATTTCATATTTACAAAGAGGTTTAAAAACATTTGTATATGCGGTGGAGCATGGTGGCTCATGCCTATAATCCTAGTACTTTGGGAGGCCAAGGCAGGAGGATCACTTGAGGTCAGGAGTTCGAGACCAGCCTGGCCAACATAGTGAAACCCCACCTCTACTAAAAATATGAACATTAGCCAGGTGTGGTGGTGGGCGCCTGTAATCCCAGTTACTTGTGAGGCTGAGGCAGGAGAATCACTTGAATCCGGGAGGCGGAGGTTGCAGTGAGCCAAGATCACGCCACTGCACTCTAGCCTGGGCGACAGAGCAAGACTGTCTACAAAAAAAAAAAAAAAATTTATATATGCTTTGTCAGAAATAGTGTTTGGGATCTCTGAAGAGAAGCTTCTCTCGAAAGAGCCTACCCTCCAAGTGCTCTCTCCTCAGTGGGGCACCTGGCAATGCTCATGCGGCCACACCCGCAACTCTAGCCCTGTCTCCACCACTGTCAGTCTCCAGCGCTCTCCTCTGTAATGTGCGGGCCATACCTACACCCACACTGTCATGAGAACCACGGGTGATGACCACGGACCAACCGCAGGACAGCAGCGGGGGTGGCCTGTGCCACTCTGAGTGGGACACTCCCTGTTCTGGAGGCGGAGAGGGACAGCATAGCCCTGGCAACTCCTCTGCCCCAGGGGGAACAGGAAGAGGATACCAGACACTCCAGAACCCTACAGAATGTGGCCTCGGCTCTTCCCATCAAGAGCTGGGAAAGCCAGGGCCCTAACTTCATTTCTCCGTGACCCCGTCCCGTGCTCAGTGGGCCCCACCGTGGGTCCAGGCCACACTCTCAACTGAGCAGACCCGCAGCCCCACGTGTCACAGACGTGGGGGCCTCCTAACTGCTGCTGAGGTCCCAATCCCTGGCTGGACATGCCTGATGGAAGAGCCAGCTCCGGTCTCGGGGGGCTGGTTTGCAGAAGTCTCCACAGACCCGGCTCCAGCTTTATGTCTTCAAATGAATACCCAGCCAAGACTGCAATTAAATTACCAGAAACACTTAGGTTTCCTCATAGACTCCACAACAGGGATGGAGAAGGAAGTCAGCTGACGAGGTTACGACGCTGTTCGAGGGAGTCTTTCTTGGGTCACAAGTGGTAAACTGTGTTCCTGAACAAAACCAGGAAGCTTTCAGTGTTTATTGTATGCACTAAGTGGAGGGAGGGACCTCAGACTGTGATAAAAATATCTCCCGATTCCCAGTGCCCAATGTGACATGAATAGGAGGGCCCTTCCCTGAATTCCCAAGGAGAGCTCCAGACAGCTGTAGAGAGCAGGGAGCCCCTGGTGGCTGGGGCTTTAGGGACTTTCTGGGCTGCGGGGAGGCTAGAGGCTGGGCAGTCCCAGCAGGATTTGGCATCTAGGGACCGGGCACTGGAGGGCAGCTGCAGTCCCAGTATATATGCATATACGTGGAACTATCTGGAAACATATTTCTGTTTCATAGTCTGTCCCTAAAGAATGGAAGAGCTACAGCAGCAGAACTACCACCCTCCCACAAGCAAAAACCCCTGGGATTCAGGTTTGGGAAGAAAAAGAAAATATCCCAAATATGTCATTTGAGAAAGCGGTTCCTAACCACAACCGGCCCCAGCTTTTCTCAAGATGCAGGATGTGGGTTCAGCTCCCTTACTAGGGCAGGGGGGGACAGCCAGTACCAGGACCCCAGGCACAGGCTCCCCAGTCAACTCAGATCCACGAAGAACCCAGCCTGGCCCGAGGCCGAAGTCACCAAGGACTCTACTGCCCTGGCAGAGCTCCAGCTCTCTGCAGTTGAGGCAGAAGTCCAGGAAGGCCTGCTGGTGAAAGCTGCAGGCTCAGGTCTTTCCCACCAGCCTGGGTCTATGGCCAGCTTGTCACCCTATTACTGGAATCTCTCAGCTTGTGGGGGCTTCCTCAGTCATTTGCTGTAAGCCCCACTGCAGGAAGAAACCTGAACAAACCCATTACCCCACTGGCCCACCCAGAGTATGACCGCTGTCACTTCCTCTTGCGCCTGTCGTGGTGGTGAAGCTTTTCCTGGCACCAAGGCCCCAATCGGTCACTGACAAGATTCCCAGACTGCAGGAGGGCAGATCCCAGGGACACAGCAGTGACCATTTCCTCGTCCATCAACAAAGGCTCCTACAACGTTGCAACAGTTATTCCCCAACCCTAGAGCACAAAAGCTTCACAAAGTCACAGTCCGATGCCTCAGGGCTCTCATGGAAAAGCATTATTGTAAAGGTCACAAATGCATGAACCCAAGGCACCATCAAGGTCTCAGTCAAAAGGACAACGTGCTCCCATTTCTAAGTCTGTCCACACCGTGCAGGTCATCACACGGAGCTCCATCCAGAAGCACTCATGAACTCCTAGTAACCTTCTTTTATCTCCCTCGAAGAGAAAAGAGACTACTATTATCAAAAGAGGGTCAAACCACATTTTTTTTTTTTTTTTTCTGAGATGGGAGTTTTGCTCTTGTTGCCCAGGCTGGAGTGCAGTGGTATGAACTCAGCTCCCTGCAACCTCCGCTTCCCAGGTTCAAGCGATTCTCCTGCCTCAGCCTCCCCAGTAGCTGGGATTACGGGCACCATGCCCAGCTAATTTTTTGTATTTTTAGTAGAGATGAGGTTTCACCATGTTGACCAGACTGGTCTTAAACTCCTAACCGCAGGTGATCCCACCTGCCTTGACCTCCCAAAGTGCTGGGATTACAGGCGTGAACCACCATGCCCGGCCCTACTGCTGAACCTTTAACAGCTGACCCTTGTTCTTAAAAGGGGAAGGTCCAAGGGAGAAAATGATGGTCTCCTCTAGTGCAGACAAAGAAAAAGTCCCTAGGATGTGGGATGCAAAGCAACTGGGAAGTCACAGGCATGATCTTCCGAGGCTCAGCCACCATCACTGCCCTCTCGGGGACCCCAAGTCTTTCTCGCTCTGATCTGAGTCTCACTCGATGTCTCAGAGGACGGCTCTCAGGGCGAGCCTGGGTCCCTCAGCCACACCCTCAGCACCCCAGGAAATCCCACTTGCCCCAACCAACCTGGTGAAGCTGCTGCTGCAGGGCCTGGTTCTCTGTCACGATCGCAATCTGGGCCTCCAGGTCCCGGTGAACTGACCTGTACCCAAAATTAGGAGAGCCAATCAGCGTGAGACAGGGCAGGCTGCTCCCTGCCAGGTACAGCCAGAGGCCTGCGGGGGAAAAGGAAACGTGCAGACAGGAAATGAGCACAGCACCTGCCGAGGTCCTCTCCACACACTGCTGCAATCTAAGAGAAGCGCCGACCCCGGGTGCCTGGACACGAGGGGATGCTGCGGAGCGGCAGGCAGCCTACACTGGGCAGGACTCGCTCTTTCACCCCCACCCAGCATTGTGGGAACCAGGGGGCCCAGGCTGTGAGACAGCCTCCACTCAACTGCTGGTCTGTGCTTCCACCACTCACATTGTGGCCTTGGGTCCCAAGCAGGATGAGAAGCAGGCTTTCCCAGAGGGAACGTGGTGACGCCACCTGCAGGCCTGCTCTCACACACCCTGCCCAGCTCCCACTCAGCCTTTCCCCAAAAAGCTCAGGGTCTCGAACCCCCTCTGAACTGCCTCTGCACACCCAGGCCTGCCAGCACTGCCTGCTAAGCTCGGAGCCCGCGCTGGCCGTCCCTTCCCATGAGTACCCAGAGTCGGCTCCCACCTACTTCTCAGTACGCAACATGGCAGATGGCAAAGGGCAGCCCCCAAGACCCAAGCCAGCAGATGTGGGGCTGTCACGTGGGGTGGCAAAGAACAGGACTGCCTTGAAGGCTGGCTGCCTCGCCACAGGTCCTGGGTAGGCCGTCTGTGCCCTCCTGACTGAGGAGCACACAGGTTACCCTGCCCCAGCCTCCCTATTTCAAGCTGCTGATACACCAAAACCCTGTGAGGACAAAGGGGCTCCAGGACTGAGACCTCTGCTGTCACTGCCCACGGGGCCCAGGGACTTCCAGGCTGGACAAGGCAGTGGAGGAGGAAACTAAATATTACGGCCCTGTAAGTTTCTGTCATACCCAGAGAACAAGTTCCCCTTTTTTGCTGGGAAATGAACCAGTCAGTATTATAGCTGGAGAAAAAGCAGGGCACTGCGTGTCACTGTGTGGCAAGGGGACACACGCTACAGGGACATTTCTGTGACAAGGTCACAGGTGTCCTCAGGATACCGATGTGTTGCCTGAGATGACGACAGGCACCATTCTGCGCCCCATTCCACACCTTCCCGAGGTCCAGGGCCGCCTCCCACAGCCCAGCCCCCATCAGAACTACTTCTAAAAAGGCTGTTCCCAAGACCTAACCTCCCAAGGATATGTGCTGCCTGAGACACCCTTCCTCCCACAGGCTCGGCCTGAGCTCAAGACTTCACTGGCACCGAGAATGCTTCTCCCAGACACTCCAGCCAGATGTCAGTGTGAGCAGGTGTGAGCGGGGGTGAGAAGGTATGAGTGAGGGTGAGTGGGTGTGAGGGAAAGGTGAGCAGGTAATGAGCAGGTGTGAGCAAAGGTGAGCAGGTATGAGCAAGTATAAATGGGTGTGAGTGGGTATGTGTGAGCAAGTATGAGAAGGTGTGAGCAAGTGTAAGTGGCATGAGCAGATTTAAGGGTAAGTGGTATGAGCAGGTGTGAGTAAGGGTAAGCAGGTGGCCATCAGCTCCTCCGGGGTGCCCTGCAGTAATCCTGGCATCCCCAAGTTCCCCCTCCCCATGGGGTGTCGAGTTCTCCCCCACTGACACGCCCCTTTCAAGGGACCCACACGATCGTCATGGGCGAGTCAACAAAGTATGTAACACACACCAGGCTCCTAAAATAGACGACGGTTTCCTAATCTTCATTCAGAGCAAGAGCATTTCCAAGAATATCTTGGGTAAGAGGTGACGGGGCCCTGTGCCTGTTCCTGTAATGGGCTCGTCTCCACCCCTCCAAGGGCCACATCAAAGCCACTTGCTGGCCTGTGCGAATCGCACCATAAACGGTAGCGCCCCGCTGGGCCACTGGCTGTGCAGGCAAGTCACAGGAGCACAGGTGTGGGCAGGCTGCCCCTTCCCCTGGCAGCTCTCATCCAGATGGTTCGCACTGCCCAGGGGGGTCCGAACAGCACAGCGCCTGCGGCCCCTCACACACACAGCCCCTCCCACCCCCTGCCCCAGAGCGCAGAGCTGGGAGAGACAGGGCGCAGGGCAGGGAGAGACAGGGCGCAGGGCAGGGAGAGACAGGGTGCAGGGCAGGTGTCCGCCAGCCTCAGACCAGAGACAGGAGCAGGAGCTTCCTCCCACCTGCCGTCGCTCACTCCAACTTTTCCGATGACGAGGTCAGCCCCTTAAAACACAGGGTCTGTTCAGTGTGACTTGTCCAGCTGGCTCTGAGACCACCGAGGGGACAGTGACATGTGACGTCACATGGGTGACGAGGGTCAGGCTGCTCTGCATCATGCCACCATGACTCAGCATCCCCCCCCACAGCCCCTAGACCACAGAGTCTGGTGGGGCTTAGCTTTACTTGCCAAATCCACCTGAGCACTGGCTTGGTGATGGGGCCAGCGCCCAGGAGCAGGCAGGCCACCTCTGGTGCCCAACTTCATCACATGCACAACTGCCCCCCATCTACTGCTCATTCCTGAGCCCCAAGGTAGACTGCGTATGCGTTTGCAGACAATCTCTACATCTATCTATGCTTCACACAGAGAAAGAATAAACGCTTCAGCAGGTGAATGCTGAGAATTAAAGAGGTGGCTAACATTTTCAACCTACCCACCAACCTCCCCTCCAGGCTTATTTGCACTGCAGTCTTTCTCCATCAAAAAGAAAACAACGACCACAGGCCAGCCTGATGCCCTCTGGGGAGCCCTAAGGAGACAGCATGAGCAAAGCACCTGCCAGGTCCAGAGATGCCACTTGGTGCTGCTGCGAGATGCCCACATCCCAGCGTGCCCCACAGGCCAAGGCAGGTGGGAACCACGATTTTTCTAGATTTCGGCTCACGATTCAGGAGTTTTAGCCATTGGTCTGTGCCCTGAGGACAACTGGGAAGTTTCCAACTAGGGAGGGGAAATCTAAAAGCCCTTAAGAGATCAAGGCTGCAGTGAGCTAAGATTACCCCTACTGCACTCTACCCTGGGCAAGAGAGAGAGAAGCCCTGATTCAAAAAAAAGGTCCTTTTAGGTTGTTTGGTCTCCCTCGCTCTGAGCCTGAGCGGTCTGGAGCTCCGGTCAGACCTGCACCACCAGGCAGCATGTCAAGCTGTGTACACACAGGGCTAAGACTACCAGGGCTGGGACTCTGTCGGGAAATGTGTTTCACGCCCGACTCTTCATCCCAGGGCCTGACCTTTGGGCCTGACATCCTTGCCATTCCAGGAAACCTCAGATGAAGGGAGACTTGCAGCACAATGACAGCCTGGAGAGGGGGGAGGCAGCCCTGCAGACACAGCACTTTCGGGACTGGACTGACTGCTGGCAGCTCGTGGGGCAGAGAGAAGCGCAGGAGCCCCGGGTACCGCGGAGGCGGCTGCCACTCCACAAACCCTCACCAGAAAGCAAGTGTCCGCAGCACCAGGGGAGGACGTGGACTGGAGTTCACTTCTGCTGCCTCACAGCTCTGGGGCCCCTCTTCTGCAGTCACACTGCCCTGAGGAAGGCTGATCCAGGCCTCAGCACTCCTGGCCTCCACGGCAACGCTCCCCTAGGACTCACAACCCTGGCTTCAGACCCCTTCCAACAGGTCCTGCCCACCCGTCAATCTCACTCCCCATCACTCCCAGCACCCCTGCTATTCTGCAAGCCTCGTGTAGTCGAGGGGGCTTCACATTTCTGTCCCCTCTGCCAGGACGCTCCGGCCCCAGACAGTGGTACAGGCACTCCCTCTTCACTCAGACCTACCGCTTGGCTATCTCCTTCTCCGAGAGGCCTCCCCGAGCCCCCGGAACAGACCCACAGCAGCCTGGAGCCTTCTCCTGCCCTGGTCTTCATGACTCATTCCTGACAGATATTTGTAGAGATGTAACTGCTTATTATCTGTTTTGCACCAAGCTATAAGCCTCGGGAGGGAGGAAGTTAGTCTACCTGGCACCCAGTGACCCATTCTCCATGTCCTGAATGATGCCTGGGACACAGTCAGTGCTTGTTAAGTATGTTTGAAAAAAACAAAGTGAGACCAATAATGGCTCTCCCAAAAAAAGAAGGTTAAATTAAGTTTAAAAAGCTCTGAAGTTTTGTTTTTTTTTTTGTTTGAGACAGTTTGATTTTTTTGTTTGTTCTTGTTGCCCAGGCTAGAGTGCAATGGTGTGATCTTTGCTCACTGCAACCTCCACCTCCTGGGTTCAAGTGATTCTCCTGCCTCAGCTTCCCGAGTAGCTGGGATTACAGGCTCCCACCACCGCACCCAGCTAATTTTCGTATATTTAGTAGAGACTGGGTTTCAATGGGTTGGCCAGGGTGGTCTCGAACTCCGGACCTGGTGATCCACCTGTCTTGGCCTGCCAAGTGCTGGGATTATAGGCGTGAGCCACCACTGTGCCCAGCTGATTTTGTTTTGTTTTGAGATGGAGTCTCGCCCAGGTTGGAGTGCAGTGGCGTGATCTCAGCTCACTGCAACCTCCACTTCCCCAGTTCAAGTGATTCTCGTGCCGCAGCCACCAGAGTAGCTGGGATTACAGACATATACCACCACACCTGGCTAATTTTTGTATTTTTAGTAGAGACAGGGTTTCACCATGCTGGCCAGGCTGGTCTCAAACTCCTGGTCTCAGGTGATCTGCCACCTTGGCCTCCGAAAGTGCTGGGATTATAGGTGTGAGCCACCACACCTGGCCTTTGCAGTTCTAAGGCAGGAGTGCATACACATTTTAAGAGGATCTCTCCTAGAAAAATTCAACTTACGTACTCCTCCCTCAGGCGCCCCCCACAGTACTCTGCAATAAATCTTACAGGGTTCTCAGACTCCAATAAAAACACGGAGTGGACAGAAGACATCACAGTCTTATCCTTACGGGAGAAGAACTCGCCTGCTCTGACGCTAGAACAGCTCTGAGAAACTCTAAGGGCCCGCAGGCTGGCATGTGCTCAGCCTGAAGTGAGCAATTCACACCGGCACAACACCCCCACCACACCCACTGGGTTCCCAGGGAGAGCCGCCCCACGTGTGGCCTAGGCAAATAGGGTGGGGCTGCCGGGCTCT